TAAACTCGAATGATGTATCGAGAAATGCAGATTTCGAAGCATGCGGATGTTGATCTAAAAGACGTCGAAGAGGAAAATAAGAGTATTTGCGACTGTTTGTTAGTATCTCTTGAACATGTTTAACAAGTGTATGTAGAAACCATTGTGGATCTAGTTGACATCGCAAGGGAATAGCATTGGCAAACATACCAATCACTGATCTAAGTTCATCTCTGTATCGACCATCTACATACATTCCAATGCACAGATCTGTTTGTCCATTCGTTAGTTTAAATAGAAAAATAAAATACATAGACAACGCCAGATGTTCAATTGAGATGTTTTGTGAAGATGTGTAGTAAAGGAAAGTGTCATAAAGATCTTGATCTAAATCGAATGAAATAGATGTTCGAAAACCAGATCGATATTCATTCGTATGTCGATACCGATCATATGGCAATGGGAGAGATTGATCTAGTTTGCAATCATGCAGAGCATCATGCCAGAACATGGTTGCACCAATCATAGGCATGTGTTGTTCAATGACAGCATCTATAGAAGAGAGAAAGACATGATATGATTATAAAGAGAGAAGTATGAATATTTACAGTCGAGATAGCGAAGTGTGTTGATGCTGTCATCGTTGGGTAGTTGACTTGTGGTATATGCTTGATGAAGATCATGGAAAAATATCTTTATCGATGGGCAGTCGAACGTGGCATGATGAAAGTTGAAGATGATGATATCTCTATCGGAGATAAGATCATTGGTAGAAACCTGTTTATAACGAACGAGATGCCATCGGAAGACAAGACCCTGAGTAAGATCGAAAACATGAGGATTATGTGTCTCATTGTGTATAATCTCATCCAATTGTTCATCTGTTTCATAAATGCTTTCGATTATATAAAACCGATTGTTTCTATGATTCTGTTGGTCAACAATTCGTTGTGTAAGAATGTTTTTTGTAGTATCAAAAATAAATGACGTTCTCAGAGATTGATGTTTATCAACAACAAGATCGAGTGCGTGACGAAGCTGCTGAACAGATAAGGTATGATCAGCTGAAAGGCGATAGCAGAATATCATATTGTAAGTTGCCAATTGTAATCCATCCAAATGCAAACGACGTTCTTCATCGAACCATATTTGTTGTTGAGCATATGAAGCTGGTTCTATGATAGTCAGACATTATTCTTACAGTTAAATACTCGAATCTCTCGCAAATAGCAATATATTGCTTTTGTAATGAAACAGTCATCCTATATTAAACTACTTTCACAAAGAATTCTTTTGTTGAGATGCTGTGTCTCAAACTGATGACATTCTTTTATCGAACTTACTATTTTTTATGTTCGAAGGGTTTTAAACTATTTCTACAAGTTACTCATTATGTACGAGTTTTAGTTCATGCAGATATGTAAAGAGGAATTAGAAACGAGCTTTCTTGGAAGCACTTACTTATTTCAGAGAAATGTCGTAGTGATTCGATGACGTTTGATAAATTTTCAACGTTCATTGGTAAAAGAGAAAGGTTTCCAATTTTTTCAAAAACTGGATCGAACCCAATCGTTTTCGTGTTTTCAGTAAAGATATGTAAAAGTAGATTCTGAAAATATCGACCAATGTTGGACACCGCCATTTCATCGTAACAATCAGCACTACATTCCAAAACACAAAGAGTTGTTTGGCTGAGCTGATTGTGAATCATTTTTAAATTAATATCATGAGAAGCAATACCATTGTCATGTAGCCAAGGTTGTTCAGTATATAAACTTAATGTCGCATCATTTGTCTTGGCTATCGATTTCATTTCACTAGTTGAAGAAGAGTGAATCTCTTCATATTGAAAATGAAACGGGATCTTGTTTGAACATAACTCCCTATTACCCCTGATGATCTGCTGATAAGGTAGTTGATAGTGATCAAGGATGTCCATGTCCAGTTGACAAATTCGCTGCACCAAGTTAATAAAACTTTCATTTGCATTAATTTTGATACGATATGGTAATAAATTCGCAAACGTACCGATCATGCATTTTGTATCAACCAATGATCGCTTTTCTGTTGGATAGGTCACACACAAGTCACTAATAGTACCATCATTGAGTTCATAAATAAAGAGAAAGAAGCACGCTAATGCTGTATGAGACATAGCCAAATTATGCAGCGATGCAAATTCCATCTGAGCTTCGACAAGTATCGAATCCAGTATAAACGATGTACTATGCCCTTCTCCAGAACGCTTTTTTGTGTCGAATGGGCGCGTAAATGGTGTCGGATAGTTTGCATTAAGACTGTAGTCATCCATCATTTTTGACCAAAACTGTTGGGCTCTTCGTACTTGAGAGTCTTCGGGAATATTAACGAATTGTTGATGCTCATGCAGACTGAAACTGATATATTGTAACCTTTCAACATCCACTTCCATTTGATCGTATGCTTTTGTAAATGCAACAAGAAACGGACTAATAGAATTATAATCGAATGCTACACCATGAATTATGAAAATAACTAGATCTTGCGGATATAATTTGTCCATATCATCGTCAGATCTCACCTTAACTAGATGACAACGAACAACTAAACCATGTTCCAATTCAGCAAAATGCCTGACTGATTCATTTCTGAGTAGATCAGCAATTTCATCGAGACTTTGTGTATCGTCTGCTGTTATTTCAAAGGAATAAGCACCATTGTTGACCACAGATCGTACTGCTTGGACCAAGATATTACGATTTTCATCGAAGTAAATTGCTGTTCGAAGTATTTCATGTTGTTCAAGAACAGCAACAACCGCCGAACGAATACGCTCGATTGACATTGAGCCATGTTTAATTACCAAAGGGAGAACAAAATTGTGCATGGCGGGTGATATTGATGGATCGTGATGAATCTTTTCATCGAGCCATATCCGTTCTTGTGCGAAAGATGCAGCACCTTGTGAACACCCAGCAGTAGGAATAGCTGATGATGCTGATGAAAGCATCATTTCTTGCTCTTGAATCTTTTGTAATAAAGCCATTTCCTTCATTATTTTCATTTTGTTTTCGAATTTGTTAAGTAACAGAAGCCTAATAAACAAGTACTTTGAGAAATAGAATTATCTGAAAAGAATAAAGCAAATATGATCGGTCCCGTCGACACTCGTATCGAATCAAACAAAGAAATCAGAACTGCACAATATTCTGTCACGAAATTACATTAAAAATAAAATTAATGCAAAATATTTTGCATTACCCATGCTGTGATGATCCTAGTTACTTCATCCGATGAAAACTTTCATAGTTATTGTTGGTGATTGTTTCGCACTTTTCCATATAAATATCAAAGCCTCCTACATAAGGTATAAAGACTCGTGGTTTTCCAGGAATATTTGCCCCGTTGTAGATTGACTTGGATGGTCGAAAAAAAGTATTTTCGACTACATCATTTACATGTTTAACCCAAGTATTCTCTAAGTCTAGAGTAGGTTGTATCATATTGATATGTTGCGTTCGTAGATATTCCAAACATTTTATTATCCATTTAACATGTTGTTCGATATGTGGAACCATATTAGCTAAGTCAGATAGAGCACCGGGGCCACTAATTGTAAGTAAGTTTGGAAAGTCAGTGATCATCAGACCTTGATAATCATGCCATAATTTATTTAATTGTTTTGTAAAAAAGATAAAATTGATGTTGAAGAATTTTTTGTTTTGATGGATAATCATTAAAATGAAAATTTATTTTTGAATGTTATTTTGATAAAAACCATCGAAGATTAAATTGACTTGAATTTTGCGGAATTTCAAATTGATATTTATTTAATTTAATTTAATTTAATTTTTTTATGATATTTGTTAAAATAATTCGCTTAATAATTTTGTTACTGATGGTGAATGTGTTGGAAATGTCATTTCAATTAAATTTTTTATTGTATTTTGATTTTTATTAGTTTTAATTATATTTAAAATGAATTATGGAAAATTTCTTGTCCATTGAAGTGTAAATGAGCTTTGTTCAAATATTTGTTGAATTAATATTGAACCATAAATAATTGCAAGTTCATCAGCTTGACGTTGATTAAGTACATATGAATTATTTGAAATTAATTAACCAATTAGTTCTCGAATATAATGATTAGAATTTTTATATAATAAATTTGATAAACAAACTTTTCCTTCAAATAAACAATCATAATGATGAAGACGAACACCGCATGTTGTAAAGCTTGACGAAGTTTAGATATTGATAGAGTACTACCTGATGACAGTCGATAAAGAAAAGGCATATTATATATGGCAACTTGCGAATTTTTTGAATCAAAACGAATTCGTTCAGCAAGTCAAATACGTGCTTGAGTATAAGAAACTAATCCTTACCAGAACAAAGACTATATAAGATACAATTAAAAATCGAAAAACATATTAATTGAAGAATTATAATTATAAGTCTTTACAAGTAATCATACCTTCATTGTTAACATTAGATAATCGATGAAAGATTGTTTGTTGTATTTCTTTAGATTTATTTTGTAGATAAAAAGATAATTTCGATATTGATTGATTAACTAAATCAAATGAAGATGAATTTTTAACAAACAATTGTGAAAGAAGATGTTGAAATTGTTTTGATAGTTCTTCTACTGTTTCTACATCAAAGACATCTTGTGAACAAATTAGAGAACATGATATTATTTGATTTTGAACTGTTGGATCGTGAAAAAATAATAGTTTCATATCAAATTTAACAATATTTTACATTTGTTTCAATGGTACTAGTTGAAATTGTGTTTGGTTTACAGAGAGAAGATCAGTATCCGTTGAATAAGTAATGAAATCAAATAATATATTGAGAAAACCAGCAGATGAATGTTTATGATCTAGATCTTGAAGTATTTGTTGAAGAGGATAATGTGTATGTTCAATAATTAAAATAAATTGATTTTGAACTTGTTTGATAAGGTGATTGAATGAATAAGTAGGATGAATTTGAATTCTATGTGGTAATGTTGCAACAAACATACCAATTAGATTTTATAATTCTGTTCTACATCGATTAGCATGAATACATGAAATGCATGGGTCATTTTGATTGTGACTTAATTTATATAAAAATGTATAAAATATGGTAAGACCTAATTGAAATGGTGTAATATCTTGTGAAGAAGCATTATCCAATGGAATATCAATAAGATGAGCAAAACCTGAATGTTGATCAGTTAATAAACGATGTGGATCAAAAGGTAACATGATACGACGTTCTAAATTCAATCCATCAAGATGTGATTGCCAAAAATGATAAGATGATATTATATCCATTTGTTTTTCATAAACTCAATTATCAATATATTGAAATTGATTTTCATTATTTAATAATGTACTATCATTTTCTAAATTATATTTAAGATCACGAAAAAATATTCGTCGAGAAGCACTATCAAATGCAATATGATGAAAATTAAAAACATTTCTTCATCTTTTCTCTTACAATTATATTTAATTATGTGACATCGTAATATAATGCCTCGATTAATATCAAATAATTTTGAACTTGTAATTTCTTGATTAATTATTTTGTTATTTTTTCATCATTTTCAGCATAACTAATTACAAATTCATATTGATTTCTAGAAGTAAATTGTTGAATAGATTGAACTAAAACATTCGTATTTATATTCCAATCTAATGATGTTCGAAGTATGGCATGTTTAGCAATAATTCCATCAATAGCTTGATGTAATCAATCAATTGTAATCTTTTGAATGTTAGAGTTAGATATAATACGACAAACTAAAGGAACATTATAAACAGATGTTTCATTCGAAGAACGAATAGTTTGATCAACAAAAATACGTTGTTGACCATAATTGAGTTCGATAAGAAGTATGATTAAGCCATTGTTGAAAAATTTGAGTATGTTCAGCAATAGTTCGTTGACGAAATAAAGAAGCAATATTAAACGATGATGAAGATTTAGTATCAAGAGAAAATTTTATTTGATATTGTGAAAAGAGACGCATTATAGCTAATGAATTACTACCCAGTGAGAAAAACGAAAGATTAATAGATATTTTTGAATTTACATCAAATTGTAATATAAGACACCAAAGATCATGTACAAGTTAGTGTTTATTTGTCATTAATATTTCATCAATATTTATTAATAAAAGTAATTATGATAGATTAGGTTTAGAAAGTGCTGCTTTATCCAATTTTCCATTAGAATTAAATGGTAATTGATCAACTACAATAAAAAAGTGATGGAACCATATATTGTGATGGATGATCTTGACAATTAGTATGAATTAATTTTTCATCAAATGGAACTGATGTAGATGCTTTATTTAATTGTATATATGCAATCAAATGGTCTCGTCCACGTTCAACTACTTTAATAACTACTCAGTTAGAAATAGATGAATTAGATTGATAAATAATTGCTTGAATTTCTTCTAATTCTACTCGTTGTCGATTTACTTTAACTTGAAAATCATTACGACCCAATAATTGAATTTACCATTTGAAGGTATTAATCGAACTAAATCACTTGTTCTATAACTTTTACCAGGTTCATCTGAACATTGAACTAATACTTTGTTATTAAAGTCGAACCTTTTGTTGCTGCACTGCTGCTATTCGTTTGCGTGAATACACCTCTTATGTTAAACGACAGATAAATATCAATAGATTAATAATGTAAAGAAATTAACTAATTAAAATCTAAAAAATTTATATAAGATAAGAATTCAAAATTTAATACATGAAAACAGGAATGAATTGATTGATCGTGACAAAAACATAAAATATTTTTCAATAACAATAATAAATTATAATTAGAAAAAAAACAATAGCTGGTTGGCAATAATAAGCATGGCAAATAATAAGTACACTTAAATAAATAGAAAAGTAATATTTGAAAATAAGGGCAATTTAGAAAAATGAAATAAATAGAGAAAAATTATTCTTAATGTTCATAGGAAAAAAGCTTTGTTTTTTCTTTAATTAAATTTTACTCAGCCAAGTAACAAATAAATCTAATATTCAGTTCATACTTAATTTTTAATTCATATTAATCCTTTCGCGGAGGTGGTATATATATATATACGTCTCACCTTTTCTCTTTCTGTTCTCCTTCCTATCTCCCACGCTGCTTCATTGAAAAGTCGCTCGTTAAACGGTTAATGTATCTATATATCTTTTTGAGTTAGTACAAAAAGTATGTCTAAAATTTTTTAAACTTATTCAAAAAGAAATTATGAGACTATGATTACGAAGTCTTTTAAATTCTATTATCTCTTTATTAGAATACATTTTCTAATCATTACAATCAAAAATTAGATAAAGTTTAACTAACAACTATCTTAAACAAAGAGTTTCAATTCAAAATTAGTCGATCACTTGAAAATGCTCCGTTCTCAATACTCTATTGAGTATTACTCTTTTGTATTCTTTACAAATTAATCTACATAATCTTTCTATCATTTTAATAATTAATTACTTACTCGAAGTTGTGTATTCACTAATATCGTCTTATTTAAAAGATGTCAGATATGAGTGACCAGAGAAAATTAAACCAACATTCTGTTTCTTTCCATAACAATCAATCCTCACCATAATAGTAAGTATTAGACTCTTTGTACTATCACCTTCTGAAATAAATCAGAATATGTTCAATACACACAAACCAACATGTTGATTGACTTAATACCATTGAGTATTTATATGATAATAATCATTTTTGTGCATTTTAATATCTGATTATTTGAAATAAAGAAAAGTATACTAAATAAATCAAATAGATAAAAAAAAATAACGCGACATTTTCATTCATTTCTAACCATTGTTTGTTGTCATAATCATTATCGTTGGTCTCTTTAGCGTAAGTTGATCTTGAATGAACAATGATAAATTCAATAGACATGATAGAGGAAAAAATTAAAAAGCAATCATATTCATTTGATAACATCAAATCTTTTTATCACCATACTCGTTGCTCTATTCTTTAGAATATGATGATCTTGAGCGAATAAATATCCATTAAACATATTTAACAAACACACTTAAAACTATACCTTAATTTTTATTCTTACCATAGCAACCATCACATTATTCTTTAGTACATGCCATCCCAAAATAAAAAACGATCCGTACAGTGCATTGCATATATCCAATCACAACGATATTTTGGGTCATTTGTAGATAAATTTTATTTTCACCACGATAACTATTGCCATTCTCTGTAATATATGCCGACCTACAATAAACAAAAACAGAATTCATACTTTAATTCATTCCATAAATGTTGTTTACTTTCATCATGATATTAATAACTCAACTCTTTCAAACATAACTTGCATTCAAACGAATACTAAATAACTCAATAAACAAAATAAAAAAATATTTAAAAGAACACTCACTTTTACATGATAATATTATTCTTTTTTAATATCACTGCTTTGGATAAATGCTTCAGATTAATCTGACCTTCAAAGAATAAATATATATTCCGATTCAATTCATAGTCATTGTTGAATTCTTCATATCAACTCAACCTTCAATACGTAATAAATATATTCGATAAAAAAATAAAGAGAAATACTCAAATTCATTTTTCAATAACTTCCATTTTTACCATAATATCCATTACTAGTTTCGTTGGATTAGAATGAACTTCCATGAATAATAATATATTCAATTAATGAAATCAAGAATAGTAATAAAAAAAGATATTCAGATCTATTTCATTATACGATATGTTAATTTTTCATAATACTTTTTGTTGAATTCTTTTTATTAACTGCTCCTTGAACAAATAGTAATATACTCAATAAGTCTAGCAGAGTAAAGATTAAATATCATTGCCATATGCTTTACAATATGTTGATCATGAATCAAGAAGTACATATGAAATACATTTCGTATACGCAATTGAAAGAAGACGCGTATTTATTCATAAAAGAATTGATCTTCGCCATAATAAATATTGCTGTATCATTTAGAAGATGATGACCTTGAATCAACAAAAAAATATACTAAATACGTATAATATATATCAATCAAAATAATACTGTTCATTTTCACTATAATTACCATGACTTTAGTTTTTAGGATATTGTGATTCTGTATGAAGAAGAAGATACTAAATACGTAGAAGAATTAACAAATAAAGAATAGTACATTACGTTACATGGTATTCATCGGTTGTAGTGCATATACTATTGCTGCAGGTTTTAGGGTATTTTTCATCTTAGACCAACAGAAATAAAACGTTAACTTGATACATTGTATAGCATCTTGTTTTTGAGTTGTAGCAACGGACACTGAACTGTTCACAGTAAGATGAATTTGAATAAACTAAAGATACTTGAGGATATTAGATAAAAATTATTTGGATGAATGAAAGAGTGTATAAGACAATGCGAAAAATAAATATTTTTTTTAATGACGACCTGCTTAAGCTAACCACAACTTGTATAAGTAATATTAACATACGATTGAAGAGTATGAGAACGACATACCTGTGCTTAATTATATGAAAAGAAAAGCACATGTAGATGTACAGAAAGGTGTATTTGAAAAAAAAACAGTATAGGTTAAATATGGATTAAGAATATCGATAAAAAAGTATTTAAAATAAATTAAGATTGTGTTATCTACATTAATTTAAATATCTATATCATTCTAATATTATCCAGTTCATACGATGTTTTTTTTTGACGATAAAATATAGAATTATTTATTTAAAAATGTGTAGTTTTATTGAAAAAAAATGTTTGTTTTAGGTATGAAATGTCTATTCTATTCCGTTAAAAATCAATTGATAGCGTTAGTTAACATGAAAACAATCAGTGTAAAAGTAATACTTAATTTGATTAAAGAGTATATAGTGTAGCTTTCCAATTAAGATACCAAAAAATTCATTTAAATACTTAAGTTGTCATTTTTTTGCTAGATCTTATAAATTTTTCGGGTTGACATTTGTTTCGATTATATTATATAGTGAACATAGAACGAAATGCTTTTACAATCCTGTTAAAATCAATTTTATATACAAGATCATTATAAATTCCGATATTCAAATGATTTATCATTGGTATAAAGTAAAAAATATATATATCCTACCAACCTCATATGTAATATAACAAAAAAAAGTATGTTTGAATTACTATATAATCGTAAGAATTGATTTTTTACTGTCAAATGTAGCACATTCATTTGAACTTTTTTACATATAAATATATTTGTTAAGTATCGCCTACGTCAACATATATCTTAATTGTAACTTAAAAATTATTTAGTTTCATTATTGTTCATTGACAATGAATATAAATTAAAGAGACAAAGGAGTGACAATATAAAAGATATAAAAAGAAATAAAATCCAATAGTATAGGTGAATAATGAAAGCAAGATACAAACGAAAGAATATCCTTCATCGATCATCATTTTATCTTTGTCACATACTTTATATCATTACAATTATATTCGAAGGATAAATTACTCAAACAAAAGAGCAACGATAAATAAGAAAAAAATATATCCGAACAATACAAGGCAAATAAAGCAAGGACAGTGTTTATGGCATTGTATTAATAACCAGAAAGAAAAGAATCTAACAAGTATTACCTTGTAGAATATCTTCTCGATACATCAATGATATCTTTTTTTTGTTATTTTCTCATTATACCATAATCAGTTCAAGATGATATTTCTATCGGTATTCAACTATAATCGACGTATAATAAGAAAAAAATATTTATTTTAATTATAAATATAATCTACAACTGATTTTTCTATCACAGTAATAAAATGTAGTTTTTTTTTACTATAATAGTAGTTTTGCGGCTTGAGTTCTTCTACAAATAAAATAAAATAAAGAGAAAGAAATTGACTTCAATTATAAATATAAATTAAAATA